AAGCTAATTTTAATGAATAAAAATAAGAAACACGAAAAATCTTGTGTGTAGGACTAAAACTACAACGATATGTTGCTGTAGGCATTTTTTGTAACATATTATTCTGTATGTGACAATACATGTAAGCTGCAATTGAACTTATATCGCACATATTTATCTTGCTCTCAAGGAAAACGTGAAATCAAATGTGAACTTAGCTGATGCAAACTGTACCAGACAATGAGTGAATGAGGCTATGGCTTACTATCAACAACCGTCTGACAGCTGTCACAGAGAGTTAGTTTTCACAGCTTACGAACGCTACTATGAAGAATGCTTGGCTCATGAATATTAATCAGGCATCGTCATTGGCCCTTCGCCAAGTAACGTAAACGCTACCTAATTATTATTCATGAGTTCAGCCTTCTCCATAGTAGAATTCATAAATTCACCTCCCTTCCAGTAGAATGCAGTAAAGCTCGCTCATATCTACGATTGCCGAATAAACAAGACAGAAGCAAATACTGGTCACTGGTATTTCCGCGTTAGTTTAAAGTGTCAGATATATTCAGTATTCATAAAAAAGATGTGTCACTTGATGTCTGTCAACAGAGGTATGACGCTGCATATTTGTAAAATGCAATAATTATAAAATCATGTTATTGTTTAATTTCAGTCTCAGTTATACATGTCATAACATGTATACCGTGTTAAATAGCTGTACCATGTGCCTCTTTTCTATGAGATTTTGTGATAACTGTGTTCACTGGTTGCCGTTTTAGCTCTAAAAATATTAATTATTTGTAACAACAATTTTATAGATTTTTTTTAATGGAACACGCCTTGATTATTTTAATACGTTCCATTTAATAGGTAACAATTTAACGTCCATGCACTTGTAATTTATTTAAGTGCTATGTTGAATATTTAAATAGAGAAAAAAAGCAGTATAATGTCCATGCATTTTCAACATACTAATACTGCCTATTTAAATGAATAAAGTGAATTTCACAAATATGCTTTTGGCTAAAATCGATGTAGGATTGACCTACAAATTGATAGAAAAACAATTAAAATTGCCCTTCTATCTTACTGCACATGCACTTAGTATAAAATGCAGCTTAGGCTAAAGGTTAATGATTCATATAGTAAAAGTAAGTTGTGCAACGAAATGTACAAGCTGCCTTTATATGATCTACTGTCTTTTCACAGACTGTGAGTTTTATTTAAACGTGTATATTTTTTATTTATTTATATAAACAAATAATAGCAATTCATGAAAATATATATAATATATACACGTATATAAATTCTATTTATTGAGTGAGTTATTTATTTATTTTACAGCTATTCTAGTAGAAGCTTGAAGATGAAGAATGAACCTTGAGGGTTTCAATTAACATATTTGTTCCACCATTGACTGAACATCTTCGGTGGAATGGACTTTAACCAACCTCCAGGGTAATGGCACGGTTTAGGCGGAAATCATGTTGTGCACTTATCGCTTTAGCCTTGGCTGTGTTTATTATAACAGTCATCTTAAAGTCTCTGAGCCCTGAGGATAATCATTTTGGCAGTCAGTTTGCATTAAGACTTATTCCACCTCCAAGACAAATGGAACAAGATAACAACATTGTTGCGTCTGCTAAACCTGCACAGATGATACCAGCAGAGAAAGCTGATAGAACGGAGAATAAAATGCAAGATTTTCCTGAGCCAAATTACAATGTACACGCTTTCTACTATGTGTGGTATGGGGACCCGCAGTTTGATGGAAAATATGTTCACTGGGATCATCCACTCTTACCACACTGGGACCCCAAGGTGGCCTCAGGTTATCCGACAGGACGACACCAGCCTCCTGATGACATTGGGGCCAATTTCTACCCTGCACTAGGTCCATACAGCTCCAGAGATCCATCGGTTTTAGAGGAACACATGCGACAGCTGCGAACAGCTGATGTTGGTGAGAATCCTCTTTGAAACGTGGATATTATTTTTCTTTACTGTATTTGCTCCATCTACTGAATATGTTTTGCTTGTTTTAGGTGTTCTAGCAGTTTCGTGGTATCCACATAGTATGAATGACGACAATGGTGAAGAAATTGATAATTTGCTGCCTTTGGTTCTGGATGCAGCTGACAAATATCAATTGAAGGTGGTGTAGATACACATGGAGGTTTGAAATTCATAGTCTTTGCTTTTGTGTCTAATGCATTTTTTTTATTGTCCCTGACAGGTAGTTTTTCATATTGAACCATACAAAGGACGAGATGATGCAAATATGCGTGAAAATATTAAATACATTGTGGAGCGGTATGTTTGATGCTTTTCATTCAACTCTATTGTCTATTCATACTTACAAAACATACAAAATAAATAACACTTTCATTTTCTTAACATTAGTTAAAAGTATTGTGTGTCAGCTAACAATGACAATACTTCTACAACATTTATAAATCTAGGTTAATATTAAAGGAATAGTTCACCCAAAAATTAAAATGTACTGAAAATGTACTTACCCCAGGCCATCCATGATGTAGATGCATTTGTTTCTTCATAAGAACAGATCTAGCATTTCATTTCAAACAGCTGATAAAAACATCACAATAATCCACATGACTCCAGTTCATCAGTTAACATCTTGTGAAGTGAAAAGCGTGTGTTTGTGAGAAACAAATCCTTTAAAGGATTAGTTCACTTCCAAAATAAAAATTTCCTGATAATTTACTCACCCCCATGTCATCCAAGATCTTCATGTCTTTCTTTCTTCAGTCGCAAAGAAATTAAAGTTTTTGAGGAAAACATTGCAGGATTTTTCTCCATGGACAGGTCCAAATTGCAGCTTCAATGCAACTTCAAAGGGCTACATGATCCCAGCCGAGGAATAAGGGTCTTATCTAGCAAAACAATAATTTTCTTAAAAAATAAAAATGTATGTATTTTTTAACCACAATTGCTTGTCTGTGTGTGTGTAATTTTTTATTACAGACACACAGCTTTCCGCTTCACAGGACATTAATTGGTGGACTGGAGTCATGTGGATTACTTGTGGATTCATATGATGTTTTTGAACTCTCATTTTGACTGCACCCATTCACTCCAACTGTTCTCAAATTAATCTAAATAATAAATGAAGAAAATCAGTCCACAGAGGTGATTAATAACACTTATTGTATATTGCATTTTACAGGTATGGAAACCATCCTGCTTTTTATAGATACAAAACAAGCACTGGCAAATTTCTTCCACTGTATTATATATATGACTCCTACTTACAAACTCCAGATGTTTGGGCACAACTGCTAAAGCCAAATGGTATATCGACAATCAGGAACACACTGTATGATGGCATCTTCATTGCTCTTCTTGTGGAAGAAAAGCATAAGAAGGACATACCGACTGCTGGATTTGATGGACTCTACACGTATTTTGCGACCAATGGCTTTACTTATGGCTCATCATATCACAACTGGAGATCCATCAAAACCTTCTGTGACTATAATGACTTGGTCTTCATTCCAAGTGTAGGGCCAGGTTATATCGACACTAGCATTAGACCCTGGAACTCCCAGAATACAAGGAACCGCATTAATGGCAAGTACTATGAGACCTCATTTAATGCGGCTGTTGAGGCAAGGCCACAGATCATCTCTATAACTTCATTCAATGAATGGCATGAAGGAACGCAAATCGAAAAAGCCATCCCAAAGACATGGGGTAAAACTGTGTATCTTGACTACCTTCCTTATAAACCTACAGTTTATTTAGAGATAACGCAAAAATGGGCTAGAAAGTTCAGTGAGGAGCAGAAGAAATGGCTGGAGTAAAGAAAAGTAAATTTATTGTTAATCCTGAAAAAGCAATACTGCCTTAAGTAGTGCTTACAAGGGCCATGGTTTGTTTTATTTTGTTCTGTTTGAGTTGTGTGCTGTTTGTTTTACTTGCATGCCTTTTACCACTGTATATGACAACTTGACTGATTAAGCTTGTCAAATATTAATGCTAAATCGCAATCAGAGATATTCTGCCTTTAAACTGTAAATAAAACACAGATTTAAATAGATTACATTTATTTGGAAATATGCATTTTAAACTACAGTTCGATGAAAAGTCTTTCAAGATTCACATATGACATTCATAAACTTTCTCAGAACAACACAATAACACACTGTCACATGCTTTAAATTTTAATGTATGTGCATAGTAATAAAACCACTAATATAAAGTGTGACCAACATAATTGGCAGTGCATGGTTTCCCTGGCATCAAAATTAATTAAATTGATTATTTCTTATATGAATGGGAGTTATTCAATGAACAATACATTATTTAAATTAAAAACATTGTGTTGTGCATTTTCATTCAACATATCCATATATTTTATCAATATGTTTAACATTTTTTCTGTGGATTGCAATGGATTCAAACAGCAATGAGGAATACAAAATTTGGCCACGGTTTATGTTGTTGTTTTTGTATTGTATACATTTGCTTTATTTACATGCCTTTTTACTCCTTTATATGAAAACCTGACTCATTAAACTCATCCAATTGCATTCAGAGATATTTTGACCGGACGCTTTAAATAGACTTATTGCCATGTGGTCACCACTTGCTCACATTATTGATCGTGTAATTGCTTATTTACTCATTTATGAATGTGTGAATTATTATATTAAACCGATTTTAAAACAAATTATTAAATGAAATTAATATTTGAACCACGTTTTTTATTTCCATACATAACATGCATTTATTTATAAATAATACACATCTGACTATCATAGGCTGTAAACCACTGAATGCAAACAGCAGTGATAAACAAAGGGATAATCCACGAGTACATACATAATCCAGTGTAACGCACTGTTACAAATTTCATTTCCCCTTCCATGCATTTCTTTGCATTCTTGCGTTTGCATGTAGGCTATTATCTGCACACACACGCACGCCCACGCACACACACATACACACACACACACACACACACACACACACTCTCTCTAAATATATAATTGCATCCCTGCATATGAACAGCGCGGACACTTGAAAGGTGTCCGAGCGCATGTGGGGAGGGGGACATTATTATACATCACATCACACCGCGTTACATGGCGTCCTTTCCAGCGACGCGTCTGCTCGCGTTCTCCGTTTCTGACCCATAGGATCGTACATGTACATTGACTTGCACGCTCTGATTTGAGTCTCATCACTGCAGACACATTGCAACATGCAGTGAAGCACTGACGCGAAGGCTATGGGTCCAGGTACATCCTATCCGAATATTGCCATCATCGGAGATTTTTCAGCACCATCCCGATATGCGAGGTATGTGGGAAGTAAATAAAGGAAGCGCATGATGTGGCTTTGCCTCGAGGATGTTTGCTGATGGACAGGTGAGACAAACGATTTACTGATATGAAAATTACCTGTATGCTTTGCATATATTGTTTCAGGCTTTAAATATCACGCACTGCGTGCACCATAATTTTTTCATTCATCTCTTGGGGGATTTTTGCGTTATAATAATTAAACATGGCACGAGCGCAGGGACGATCATTCTCAAGGGATGCTTCATGCGTCCTTTTTGGATACGATGCGGTTTTGCTTAAAATAGACAAAGCAGTCGAGATTTTGGAGAGAGGGAGCGTGCCATATTTAAGGAATAGCCATATTTCGTGTAGTAATATGTCAGATGTGTGTGACAGTGTGTTTTAAGATGACCTTCAGCATCACTGGCGAAAGCACATCACCTTGCACGGTATTATACGTTCATTTATGTTTTTTGGAACGATTTTAGATGTGTGTTCATTAAATATATTACCATCATATCACTGATGGGACAGACACGAATTCGTAAAGCCTACTAAATAAACTACACAACTGCTTCATATTTAATGGTCCTTCTTTTCATCTTAACGTCCTTCATCCACATCTTCTATTTATTAGACGTCAATACAGAAGCCAGCTACCAGCATGCAACTCTGTGTCCCAAATACATCACAATACATTTAAAACAAAAGGCCTTTCTTTTTCAAAGAAAGGCCTCCATTTGTGTCTCTCTGTTGCAACATCCCACATAGCAATTTTTCTATAAATCTTCTATTTATTAGACATCAATACAGAAGCCAACTACCAGCATGCAACTCTGTGTGTCAAATACATCACAATACATTTAAAACAAAAGGCCTTTCTTTTTCAAAGAAAGTTCCGTTTGTGTCTCTATTGCAACATCCCACAGCAATTTTTCTCTGGCCCAGCTCCGGCCCATACAACCAGCTTTTGCTTGAATTAATTGTTGCAATGAATTACGGTAGTGTGGACCAGGTCTGGTTTCCAGACAAGGGCCACACATGGGTCATAACTGGTCCAAGTCTCAGCCAAGTTAATTGCCCATAACTGGCCCTGAATTGGGCCAGATCAATATGTAACATTGGAACCAAAACACAACCTTAAATAAACCATATCAACACCAATCTTTAACCAGAAAGCCCAAAACTGAGCCACACCTGAGCCTGATCCACACTGTGAACTAAACCTGGCAGCCAAAATATGGGCCACAAATGGGCCATGACAGATCCATATCTCAGCCACCTGTATGACCATAGCTGGCCCTATTCTGATCCTGTACGCTGGACCAGATCGGTTCCACATGTCAGCCTCAACAAAACCATAACCAAGCCACTTGATACACACCCCTCCCAGATGAATAGTCACAACAACGACAGTATTCTGAACAAATATTTAATCATGTTTAATCAGCAAACCAAGTTGAATGAATCTCACACCTAACATGCTTATTTGTTTTGCTTGGGCAGTGTGTTCACCCTGTTGGAGTATGGCAGTGTGAATTGGCATTTAGGTGCTTTGGAAAACAAAACAAAACATCGGTACAAAAAAATATATATTGTAAAAATGTTTCCGCAATTAACACAAAATTCTTAAATAAGGTACTTTATCTATTTTTGCAATATTCAAGTGTTCATGTCCCTGAATAATATCTGCATGCACCTAAGTCTGAAGAGTACACATAATATCTAGACAGCAATCCTTGTGAGTGAGAAGTCTGGTGTGGAGGCTGGATCTGGAACTCACTTTTGTCCAGGTTATCTGTCTTCACGAACTGCCCTGAAATACAATTCAAACAAACAATGTGAGGCTCTTAAATTCACAATGCTCATTTTGGCCTCGGTGGTGAAGTGTGCAGAAAATTCTGCCGGACTGAAATTTAGTCTTCAAGAGTGCAAATAAGATTTAAAGTTTTAAGTACCTTTCAGGCTCGCGTGAGGTTTCCACAAGCAACAAAGTGTACTTGAACAAACACTTCACTAAAGTTTAGAAAATAATACACATACAGACCGTTATAGTTTGACGTGAGGTACGTTCACAGTACTCTGGTTCTGTCTTACCGTTATTAATTTTAATTTCAAAGATCTTTTTTTATTATCATCTGTGTCATTTTTCGAATTATGATGAACCCCTCTGTAGGTTGTTGTGTAACTCAGTGCAGAGTTAAACAAGATGGCCTTGTAGGACATACAGGAAATATTTTATATTTATTTGATATATTTTTTTTAATATTTGATAAACTTTTGAATGTTTGAGGTTTTATTTACTAGTCAGATGGTTCATAGTGCCTCGGAGATGTTCTTCGGCAGGAGATCCGCTTCAGCTCTGCAGCATGGCCATCAGCATGGAAGAATATAGGAATAATTTGTCACGGAGCCAACAATATGTAGTAGGCTATACAATGTCAGGTTTATTAGAAATAAACAAACTACAGCAGAGGTGAAATGCAGAAACGAGAAATAACAATATACAAAACATACCAAACATTTTTTTTTTTAAATCTTAAGATACCAGAATTCACATTTTTAGGTTTTACAGATGCATGATGATATCGTTGAAATATATTGTCAAAAATGCATAAAGTTATTTAATAAGATTTCTCAGATCACCTGTTTCCTGTATCTCTGTCAGCAGCCCCCATTACAAATTTTCTTGTAACTTCCCCTGTTTTAGGGTTTTTTCTGACGCTCCTGAAATCATTACAATTGATCAAAATTTGTTTGCAATGTAAGCTCAAAACGTGTTTGAAATAGTTTCAGCCCATTAGTTCATGTAAGTGACGTCACCGATTGACCCCACAGTGCAGACTTTTAGGTGAAATTAATTAGCTTATAGTTACTTCCATTTATCTATTGACAAAGTACCAGCAAAACATTTACAAACTATCAGAAACGCTCATCTACACATAAAATGTGATTAAAAGCTCAAACTTTCATTAATAAGAGCTCAAATCTATAGTTAGCTTACCTCTAATAGTTAGCCTCTATAACTACCCTTACGAAAAATACGTTTATTCAAGTGTGCTATTAGTATACTTCTTTTAAACTAAAAATAGGAAAGTATACTTTTAGTCTACTTTTTATGTACTTCTCAGAAATGGGCTTTATGTACTGCTCAGAAATATACTTAAAATTACATTTAAGTATACTTGACTTATACTTAGTCTAAATATATTTGAGCTATACTTGTGTTCCTAGAATCCGTGTTTTCATTGTTATACGGTAGGGGGCGCTAGTACACATCTTCTGTACAGAATTTCCAAAAAACACAAGTGAAGAAGAAACCGAAACAACAGATGCTTCCACATGTAATCTAACACGATCATCAGACATAAAACAGCATCAAAACTGTGTAACGTTATGGAATAAAATGTCGACCAATGAAGAGTTAATACTGACTGTCAAGCTTTGGGGTGTTGATCGACTCTATCTACGTTTTGATTATCATTCTGAATGCAGTTCATAGTCTTTTTTCAGCTTTTTGTTCAAAATGTTGTTTATTTCTTTATTTTTTATTTATGAAACTTATCCACATTCAAGTGTTTAAA